AAAAAAAAACAGCGCAGAAAAAAAAGAGTATTTTTATAGTGTTTGATTTTAGATGTCAGTGCAATGCAAACATTTGAAAGTTACATATTGAGACAGTCTTTTCTGTTAATAAAGATAGTTCTGCCTGTAGCCGTTGCGTCAACAAGGAGTGAAATTACCTCAATTTTAGAACTGCTTTTTTAAATTTCTTTCAAACAAATTATACATTAGTTTTCTAGCAATTATTTTGAGCTGCTTAAGCCTGTTTCTAACCATAAACTTGCTTCTTGTTTACTAGACTATAAAATACCTAAAAAAGAGTATTTTTATAGTGTTTGACTTTAAATATCAGTGCAATGCAACTGTCGCCTTTTTTTGCCAATTTTTAGCTCAAAAAAACTGGTAATTACACAAGTTTGAAAATCTCTTAAATATTTATAAATAGATAGCGAGCTTTATGATAAACTAGTATTCTAAATAATTTTTTGTAGAAAAGTTGAGTATTTTTATTTAAGAGCAATGTTGCTGATCGTAAAACAAAATGTTATGCAAACTTTTGCTGAATTATTTTAATAATAAAAGTGTAAACTGAAGTATATATAGTCAAATTATTAATAAATTGTCACTGATAAACAACTAACAACTTTATGCAAAAAGATTAGCTCTGTTTGTAGTATATTGAGTATAAAACTTCTTCGACTAGTCTTGGAAAGTTTAACAAAATAGGTCAAAATAAGAGCGCTACAACAGGGTATAAGCATGTTATAACAAATTCTTGCACATTAATATAACTTTTCAAACATTAATTGTTACTTAACAAAAATTTTGATTTTTGAGCTGTTGTATCATAAAGAAAATCTTACAGGTACATTATTTTATAGGCGCATTACAGTTTCATCTGTCCGTCTTGGTTTACTTAGGCCGATTAGGCCAATATTTGTAGCTTTCTGCGGCAGTAGTGTGAACAGTCGAACAATTCATACAAGGTTTATGTGCAAACATCCCTGTTCTTTCCATTTACTGTTCCACAACTTTCAATTTTTCCCTAGACTACTTTTCTAGCTTGAATTCTTTTTCGCTTACTTGAATAGCCGTTTGCTTTGCCTTCTATTTTTTACTTCAGTTATACTATTTTGTTTTACAAAACCAACTATTTTTAGAAGGCTTAGAAGTTCTTATCTTTCAGTTTATTGGTCCATATGCAGTTGAGTAAAGCAGTTCCTTACCAGAGAAAGGTTACGTTGCTTGCGCAACAGTGTAGATGTGGCAAATTTTCTAAATTAGACTTGGCCATTTA